TGGTTGAACTGGATCAGCAAAGGTCAGCAGCAAAGACATTGGTTAATAAAATGGGATTAGATACATTTGTGTTATTTAACATATTTAATTATTGCAGGTTTGCGTCATATTCTGAGTTTGCATTTCACTGTTTTAATTCATTTTGATGAATACTAAATCTGTTTTTTGTGAGTGGGATGAATTAATGCACATTCACATTTAGTCTAGAATGTGCTACAGTAACATCATGTTCACACAGCGCACACAACTCCTCTGCACTTCCCATTTCTCCCAATATGGGGACAGGAGACTTGTCAGTCAATAAATGGGAAAACAAAGTGACTGGCATTACTTTTTGAAAAAGTAACTCAGATATTTTCTTGTAAATTAAAAAAGTAATGCATTACTTTACTAGTTCCTTGAAAAAAGTAATCTGATTACGTAACTCGCGTTACCCCCAACACTGATTATACCACAATACACTATATATAAACTGAAGTCTTTTAATATCATATAAATATCATTATTCAGTGGTGCTAGGTGATCCTAACCACATCCTCAGCATATAAACAATTCCACGTTCACATACTTTGGGGTGTGTTGTCTCAGAGCATTATAACTGTATTAAAACAGTTATATAACTGACTGACATAACAATAAAAGAATTAAAAATAATGATGATTTGGACCACCCTTTCTCAAACCTTCCCAAAGGGCTCCTGAAACAACAAATGCCTCAAACACCATGGCCGTACATGTTGGTGCTTGTTTGCTGTCTATATCTCAGGAAAGGGCAAGGCATTGCTGATATTAGATGAGTTCTGAACCATTCATAGTCCAGTGATTCAGCAGGTGTTTTAGTGATTCAGAATATCTTTTTTTTTGGTTTTGCTCCTGGTTCTGCTTTTCAGGTTTCATGTAATTCTGCGTGGTCAAGTGCTGATACTGCCCTCCACCTCCACCGCCATCTTCAGTTTGGTTTTCAGATCTTCTTTCACTGTGGAAGGTTTAAAGGGTTTTTGAGTGAGCATTGGTGTCGTTTCTCCCACTAGTTTAAGCCCTTTTCTCAGTTTGACATCCTGGAGATTGAGGAAGACGTTTAGATGTTCTACATTCACTTCTGAACATGAAGGCTCTAAACTATAGGCACCAAGACATAACATACTGTTCCTTAGTTATCCTAAAATGATCTTATAAATTAATACTAGTATATTATCAGTTTATAAATCGTTATTGTTATTAATATCTGAAATAATTTAGACAAACAGAAGAGTGAATGAAGGCATTAAAGCAGACAATATTATTCAACTATATTATTATTTAACTTCATTTAAATATATGGCATACAATTGCATTTCAACATTTAGATCAAGGTGACACTTTTATTATTTATTATATTTTTATATATTTTATTATTTATTATATTCATTAATGACAATACATTATTATATATAATAATGACATACCAAGAAGAAGTGTAAAAAATAATTATATATTAATTGAATTATATATTAATACACATAATAATATTACAAAATATTCTATAAATATGAGATTGTCATAAAACAGACACTGTGATTGATCAGTTTCAACACCCATTTAGCAGGTTCATGTGACATTGAGTAAAACTCGTATGACATTTATCCTCCATCAGTGATTTGTATTGTGATGACTGTATTTGTTGAGTAATTTGGGATCATTCTAATTAAGCATATTTACCTGTTCAATCCCTAAAATACTGCTGAATCATCTAGGTGTCATCCGCTCTCTCGTCGTTACATACTCATTTTGTTTCTGTGGTCATTAAACAAAACTCAGTCCAATGTTATTTATTTCATAGTTTCTCATTTTGTCCGTGAGCTCCTCCTGACACAATGAAGGGACAAGTGAAGACTAGTAACTTTTCTTTTACTAAGCTCATAAATGTTCATAAACCTCATAGTAATCAGCTGCCCAGTGCTGACTTCTTTCCTACTGGAATCAAAGGTTGTCTCAGTTGAGAAGGGTGTGTTTCAGTTGAGCTTATTGACTCATGACTCATAATGAGTAAGAAAGAGAGGGTTAATAATGTTCACTTCAGCCATCATCCTGTGCAGTCAATCAGTTTAACAAGTAGGAAAACATCCTGAGGAGTGTCTGATGTTGGTGGAATCGGTAAACTCAAGTTCAGTGTTTATTAAAACAGTCATTTTAAAAGATTTTTTAAATGTAGCTATCAAATTTAGTGTGATTTATTTTATTATACTTATATTTACTATTTTATCAAACAGAAATATAGTGTCAAATATTATTACAGTGTAAAATCACTGTTTTCTATTTAAATATACATTAAAATCTCATTTATTCCAGTTGTGGCAAAGCTGAATTTTCAGCTGCCATTACTCCAGTGTTCTTCAGAAATCATTCTAATGTGCTGATTTGGTGCTCAAGAAATATTTTTTCTTATTATTTTTCATTTCTAATTATTATGCCTACTTATATTATTTGTGGAAACAGTGATCCATTTTTTTTTTCAGGATTCTTTTATGAATACAAAAAAAAAACAGCATTTATTAGAATTAGAAATCTTTTGTAACATGGTGATCAACTGAATGCATCCTTGCTGAATAAGTATTCGTTTTTTAAATGATCTGACTGTGTAGATTATACTGTACAAGAGTGTAGAAATAGATTATACTGTAGAACTATTTACTGGCTGTTTCCTCTGACATAGCAATGAGTGTAAAAAACGTTCACAATGCTTATCAGACCAGAAATACTTGACTGACATAGCCTTATTTAGTTTTCTAAGCACCAGTGTTAATATAGGTCAGGCAAAAAGGAATGCAGAATGGCTTGCCATCATTGTGGTCTGTCATGCAGCCTCACAACAAGAGCTCTTCTCACTTAAGTTCACACTTCCTGTACCTCAGGAAGAGTGTTGTGCCATAATACAGCAACCTCTGCATATATATATATATATATATATATCAGTACTTACAGAACTGTTCACATTGGTACAAGTTTCATTTCATTTTATTTGACTGTTTCATTTTGTTAATAATATCAGGTTACTTAATACATTTTCAATGTAACAATTATTCTTGCTCTTTTGTGGTTTGTACTGAGTAGATTGTGACTGTGGTGAACGTGGTCTTGTCTTGAGAGGTGTCCTGTGGTCATTGTGTCAAGTTACTTACAGTAATACAGTTAGAACCTGTACAAAGCTGAGCAAACATGTATGCAGGGTGGCGTAAATGTTTAGTTAATGATATAGTTCCATTATTTACTCACCTTCATGTCGATCGTTCCAAACCTGTATTACTTTTACTCTTCTGTGGAACAACAACAACAACAAAATAATGTTATATTATTTATAGTTTAGACGTTGTACTTTCGCTCTTTAAACACTAGAGGGAGACAAATATTTAAATACGTTGAAAGAATAATACAGCTGCTATCCGCAATTCAGCCACAAAAATATGGTACTGTTTATACCGGACACATAGTCATTATCTCATTGAATCAAATGACTAAGCTAGTTAAACGTTTCCCCTATGAATTATAGGCCTAGCTATGGCATTTTATTGAAGAAGGGCACTTCTGGTAAGGGTTGGAATCAGTTAAGAGTCACTTATTAAACTTTATTACCTTGTTTGTTTAATAACAACATATGTTTGTGGTGATCGAGTGAGTGAAATTTATTGATGTGTGTGTGTGTGTGTGTGTGTGTGTGTGTGTGTAGGGGTTGTGATTATGTACAATATTCTTTTGGTTAGGTTAAACTATTTTTGATCAATAGTCATTAATCTTAAAAACAACAACAAAAGCAATAGAAATTTATGGCGTGTCCACGTGCGTTTTTAAGGGAATAAAAATTTGCATATCTATATTTTAGAAATGAGATAGTTTCTCCTTCTTGTTCCTGTTATAATATATGACCCTGGACCATAAAACCAGTCATAAGTAGCACGGGTATATTTGTAGCAATAGCAAACAATACATTGTATGTGTCAAAATTATCGATTTTTCTTTTATGCCAAAAATCACGAGGATATTAAATAAAGATCATGTTCCATGAAGGTATTTTGTAAATTTCCTACCGTAAATATATAAAAACTTAATTTTTGAATAGTACTATGCAATGCATTACTAAGAACCTATTGCTAAATATTGTATAATATAAGCCAAATATTGTCCTATCCATACATCGATGGAAAGCTTATTTATTCAGCTTTGATAAATCTCAATTTTTCTCAAAATCAAATCTCAGTTCTCAAAATCAAAAAATTGACCCTTGTGACTGGTTTTGTGATCCAGGGTCACATATGCTGTGCCACAGCTTTTTGTCTTTACATTGCATATTGCCTCAACAGAAGCTCAGTTAGCCCTATAAATCATACTTAAAACATGTTCTGGACTGAAGCAATAGGTTTACTTGTTAACCCATAGCCTACATCATATTTTAGAAAAATAAATCTAGTTAAACTGCAACTATAAATGATACAACTAATTTTTGAGGAACATTTATTTGTACATCTCTCAGTGGTTGCATTTGGGTTCTTTTGCAAGGACCTTTAAAATAACTTAAATCATTTGGCGAAGTGATAAATAAACTGAAACTACTTTAACCTGTGCGTTTCCTGGAAAATAGTTTCTTAGAACCTTTGTCAGCCAATCAGATTCAAGCATTCCACAGCATTTTATATGTATTTTATGTAAGTTGTACTGTTAAACATCGAATTGATTTACAAGCTGTCATAATCTCATCTAACTTTGTGGCCAAATTACATATGTTTGCATAGTCTGGTACTAAAATTAAGGTGTTTTTTTTCGTCCTGGAATGTGAGGAATATGCATTGACTGTATAAAAACAGGGAATATGCATATGACAGTCGCCTGATGTATCAGATATGATACAAAACATATATGCACATTTTTTTTTAAAAAACATATTATTTTGTATAAAGGTATAATAAACTGTTCCGTCTAAATAAATCAAACAAAATGATTTTTCTGACTAATTTCCTATGTCAGGCTGTGCAGTGTTAAAGACCTTTGCCAGAGCAGCGGCGTTGTGCAGTGGGCGTGGCATTTAAAGGGCTGCGCGAGTGATCTGTACGGTGCGCAGGATGGGCCAATCATCATCCAGCAGCGGCAGCGGCTCTTCACGCGGCTGTAACAGCGCAGCACTCGCGAGCTCCACACGAGCGCGTGTGCAAGGAGTTTTTTCTTCTTCTTTACATACCGGTGACCGGTTAGACGAGAATCCGATGAAAACCAAGCAGCTGCAATCTGTTCAGAAGTGCTGGCGGGACGATATCAAAGAGGGGAAGACTTCTGGGGATGTGAGAGTACACGAGCCGAAAAAACTTATTTTAAACGCGACTTCTTCCGGTAATCAACATGCGACCGAAAACTTGATACTTCTGAGTCGGGACACCAACTTTGAAAGTTCTGATTCCCAAAGCGGACAGAAAGGAGTAACGTTACGCGAGGAGAACAATGAGTGTTGCGTCTCGCCGTGGGACATGGAAAGAGTGTCAGAAGGAGGTGCCGTGATTCCAGGCAGAGTTTCGGAGGAAAATGTGACCCAGTGCTTGAACGCACCAGACTTTTTAGTAGACTTCAGTTGCTCGTCTCCGTTAGCCAAACATAAAATGACCAAAAGTACATTGCAACCCTCCGTGTCAGGTCGGCTGGGTGGAGAAGCAGAGCAACAAGCCTCAAACCCATTCCCTAGGATTATTCCCAAACTAATAGTCACCCATGATGATTTAGGTCCTGGTGAGGACAGTCCGCACATCAGTGATTTGACTTTAAGCATGGGCGGCTTTTCGCTGGACCTGCATCCCGATGAGGACTCGCCCTGCTCGGACAGCGGCTGTGGAGGCTCCCCTGCGCCCTCTCTGTTCCACAGGAAACTGTCCAGCTCCTCCTCCGCTGGATTGTCCTCTGCCTCGTCGTTTGAGGAATCTGAGGATGATTTCACGGGCAGCGACATTGAGCCCACCAGTCTGTCCCCCAATATGATCGGTAGTGCTGATGAACTCACAGGGGTAGGTGTCCAGTTTTCCCAAATTATTTTAGTCCTTATTATTTTTAAGGTCCCATATAGACTGACCTGCAGTGTTGGGGGTAACGCATTACAAGTAACGCGAGTTACGTAATCAGATTACTTTTTTTCAAGTAACGCATTACTTTTTAATTTACAAGAAAATATCTGAGTTACTTTTTCAAATAAGTAACGCCAGTTACTTTTTTCCCCATTTATTGATTGAAAGCTCTCCTGTCCCCTTGTTGAGAGAAATCGGGAGTAAGATGTTACTTTAGTTCTAGAATAAATGTGAACATGCATTAATTCATCAAACTCGCTCACAAAAAAAAAATAAAAATCAGATTTAGTTTTCCTCAAAATGAATAAAAACAGTTAAACGCAACTCAGAATATGACTCAAAGCTGCAATAATTAAATGTTAAATAATACAAATATACTTTATGTATTTAATCCCATTTTATTAACCAATTTGCTGCTGACCTTCGGTGAACCAATTCAACCA